CTGGGCCGGGGCCCGTACGGGACACTGGGAACACTGGGATGAGTCTGGGACCTCACCCCGGGACCCCCCAGAGCCCCCCCATTCACTGTCAGCTGGGCCGGGGCCCGTACGGGACACTGGGAACACTGGGATGAGTCTGGGATCCCATCCCGGGACCCCCCAGAGCCCCCCCCCCACTGTCAGCTGGGCCGGGGCCCGTACGGGACACTGGGAACACCGGGAATGCTGCGGTGAGCCCGGGACCCCCGGGACCCCAGAGCCCCCACCCACTGCCAGCTGGGCCAAAACCCATATGGGACACCGGGAACACTGAGATGAGTCTGGGACCCCTGGGACCCCCAGAACCCCCCCCTCACTGTCAGCTGGGCGATGTCCATACAGGACACTGGGAACACCGGGAATGCTGTGGTGAGCCCCGGACCCCCAGGACCCCACAGAGCCCCCCCACCCACTGTCAGCTGGGCCAAAACCCATATGGGACACCGGGAACACTGAGATGAGTCTGGGACCCCACCCCGGGACCCCCCAGAGCCCCCTCACTCACTGTCAGCTGGGCCAGGGCCCGTATGGGACACTGGGAACACTGGGATGAGTCCAGGACCCCCCCAGGACCCCCAGAGCCCCCCCACTCACTGCCAGCTGGGCCAAAGCCCATATGGGACACTGGGAACACTGGGATGAGTCCAGGACCCCCCCAGGACCCCCAGAGCCCCCCACTCACTGTCAGCTGGGCCAAAGCCCATATGGGACACTGGGAACACTGGGATGAGTCCGGGACCCCTCAGAGCCCCCCTACTCACTATTGGCCGCGGGGCCCACAGAGGACACTGAGGACATTGGGGACCCCCCCCGGCCCCCTCCCAGGCCCCCCCACTCACTATCTGCCGCGGGGCCCGTCGTGGGGCTCGGCCATGGGCACGTCCCCGTCGTCCTCGTCGGGGCGGGCTCGGCGGGGCCGGTTCCGGGCGTTCTCGCTGTACATCTTCCCCCGGAACGGCCCCCGGCCCTTGCGGCGCCGCCCCGGGAACGCCCGGCCCCCCACGCGGTCATCGTGCTCTGGGGAGTGGGGGGGACACGCGGGGGTCAGGGGGGGCACCGGGGACCCCCTCAGGGTCACCCTGACCGACCCCCGGACCCCCGACACGATCGTTGTGCTCTGGGGGTCGCGAAGGAACCGGGGACCCCCTCAG